GCACTTTATGTTTCCACCAACAATGTATGAATTTTTCTACATTGTTCCCACACTTGCTATTTTTTGCTTCTTCGTAATAGCCACCATAATAAGTGTGAAGTGGTATCTCATTATCTGATGTGTATTTCTCTAAAGGCTAAAAGTGAAAGTTGCTCAGTTGTGTCTGACTCTTCATATCCCTATGGACTATACAAGTCCATGGAATTCTCCAGGCCAGAATACTGGAATGGGTAGCCTTTCCCTTCTCCAGAGGATCTTCCCAACCCAGGGATCAAACCCAGGTGTACCACATTGCAGGCAGATTATTTACCAGCTGAGCTACAAGGGAGGCCCAAGAGTATTGGAGTGGGTAGCCTATCCCTTCTCCAGGGGATGTTCCCAACCCAGGAATCGAACCAGGGTCTCCTGCATTGCAGGCAGACTCTACCAACTGAGTTATGAGGGAAGCCCTCTCTAAAGTCTGGTGATGAGCATATTTTCATGTGTTTATTGACCATTTGTACATCTTTGGAGAAAAGCTCATTCAAATCCTTGGCCCATTTTTGCATTGGGTTGTTTTCTATTGTTGAGTTGAAGCTCTTTATATATTCTGGATATTATTTTTTAGTCAGATATATGATTTGCAGACATTTTCTCCTACTTTGTGGGTTGTCTTTCGGCTCTCTTGAGTGATACTTTGATGTACAAAAGTTCTAAATTTTGATGAAGTCAAATTTATTTCATTGTTGTTGCTTATATTTGTAGTGTCATGTCTAAGACAAGGTCAGGAAGATTGATTGATTTTTTCCATATACAGAAAAGCACTAAAATTATTGAGATACCTGTTCTTTGTAGTTAGCAGTAAATTTTGCCAAGATGTATGCTTGGCTATGTGTATTTCCCAGCTAAGAAAATTCATATACATATTTGCTCCTCCCCCTAACTCTTCGGAGTAGTCCCCTTAGAGCAACTGAGAGGCTGTTTCCCAGGCTATAGTACTCAGTAAGGTCCCTGAATAAAACGTAACTCACAACTTTCACCTTGTATGTATTTCCTTAAGTTGTCACAGGAAAGCAAACTTTAGGCTCTAAATGCCCAGAAATGAAGAATCAGATTCCTGAAGTCCATGGACAAACTAAGCTGTATTTTTAAGGTTTTTCAAGAGTATTAGAGCCTGAAAATTCAGCAAGAATAATGTGTACTATAAAAGAATAAAACTGCCCAGTAGTATTATAATATCTGTGCCACTAAAAGTTAATGGGCTGTCATTTGTAAATTTTCATATCCTCCTCCCAACATCTATGAAAGATAATGAGAAATAGAGTATATTGTAGTAGCTAAGAGCACTAGGACCTTGGATTCCGAAACAGCAAGCAGTCAGCCAAATGCAGAGTATGAGACATTCTATTGGACAAATGATCTGGCTTCTCCATGGAATCAATTACAAGAAAAAAAAGTAGGTGTGTGTGGGGAGAAGGCAGGGTGAGGAGGTGACTGTCAAAGAATACAGTAGACTTAGAAAATAAATGCAATGCATAAAACTGTTTGGATACTAATTTGAGAAAACTAACAGTAAATAAACACATTTAAGTGATTGAAGAGGTTTTTAAATGGGCTAAATACAAAATGATACTAAGAAATAACTATTAATTTTGTTGGATATACTAATGGCATGGTGGTTATATTAAAAAATTTCTCGCTCAGAGATGTATAATGAAGTATTTATGGAGTGATATCTGGGATTTGCTTTAAAACAGGGAAAAAAATGAGAAGGGATAGATGAAACAAGATTGGAAAATGTTAGTGATTGTTGACACTGGTGATGTATACAGGGATTCACTGTACCACTCTCTCTTTCTCCTTTCATATACATGTTTAAAATGTTCTATAACAAAGTTAAAAATTATAAATAAATAATAAAATATGTAAAAGGAGAAAGAAAAACAAAACAGACGTGGTCTGCATCCTGGTTCAACGACTTACTTGCTAGGTTACCTTGCAGAAGCTATTTGATATCTGTAAAACGGCAATAATAAGGGTAGGTAAAGCATTTAACACATTATGGTCTGCATAGTAAAGCTCAATAAATGTTAGCTAATATCGTTATTATGAAAGAAATGAAAAATATAATTACAGACTTGATTTACAGTAATTTAAAAACGTCTTTGTGTCAAAGCATCAATCATTAATTACTGTATGATTTGTAATAGAACTCTGGAAACAATATAGATGTTCATTTACTGAAGTTTACTTACATGAATTATATACATTTTTATAAGGGAATTTCATGCATCTATAAAAATAATCATGTGCTAAGTTGAGACCTATCAATTCTATTGCTCAGCATCATTTTGGAGATATTATCTAATGTAAACAGAAAAGAAAGAAATTAGAGGTAAAAATTGGAAAGAAAACGTTAATACTGACTTCTGTGGATGATATGCTTACATACTCAAAAACCTCTCCCCAAAATCAAAAGAATCAACCGCAAAAAAGTACAAACCAAAAGAGAATTCAAGGTAAGGTGGTTGTTGTGTTAGTCGCTTAGTCGTTGTCTTACTCTTTGAAACCCCATGGGATTGTAGCCCACCAGGCTCCTCTGTTCATGGGATTCTCCAGGCAAGAATACTGGAGTAGGCTGCCATTCCCTTCTCCAAAGTATAATGTTACCTGTTAAGTATTTTGTGGACGTTCTTTATCAAATTGAAGCTGTTTCCCCCTATTCCTAGTTTGCTGAAGGTTACATGACACCAAAAGCATAGTCTATACACAGGAAAACTGCTAAACTGCATTTTATCAGCAATAAAAACCTTTGCACTTCAAAAGACTCTCTTAAGAAATTGAAAAGAAGCGACTTCCCTGGTGGTCCAGTGGTTAAGACTCCCAATGCAGGGGGCACGGGCTTGACCCCTGGTTGAGGAACTAAGATCCCAAATCCCATATGCCATACAGCATGGCCTAAAAAATTTACAAATGGAAAGAAAATTTGCAGACTGGGAAAAAATATCTGAAAATCATACACCTGATAAAGGAGTTGTATCCAAAATATTTAAAGAATTCTTAGGACTAAATAAAGACAACCCAATTAAAAATGGGCAAAAGTTTTAAAGTTCACCAAGAAAGACATTTGAATGGCTCTTTAGCCCATGCAAAGATGCTCAACAGCATTGGTCACCAAGGCAACACAGACCAAACCCACACTGAGACCCACCTCACGCCCACCAGGACAGCTGGTATCAGACAATACAGAGAGGGTGAAGAAGTAAAGAACTGAACACTCAGCACTAGGGTGGGGACATGAAATGGTGGCTCCACAAGTCTTTTCAAGGTAAGGTAACTAAGTACAAAAACTAATATAAGAGAAACCAACAGCTTTCAAATACACATTCAGTCAGAAATTATACTGGAAAAGACCACATTTAAAGTGCAAAATAATAATAAAAGGTAAACTCACTAGAAAAGAAGTTAGCAAGAAATGGGTAATATCTATAATAAGGGCACAAAAGAACATTTGACAAAATATAAAGGCACCTCTTACTCTTAGATAGGAAGATTCAATACTATAAAGAAGTCAGTTTTTCCTAATTAAAGATATAAATTTAATGTCATCCAAATAAAAATACCAGCAGAATTTTAGACAACTTGGCAAGCTAATTCTAAAGAACATGGAAAAAATAGAAAACACGACTTTTCAGGGAAAAAATCTAGAAAAGGAGAGTAATAAGGGGAAGACTAATGTGACTAGATATTAAAACATTATAAAATGTATGAAACCAGTTAAGTACAGATATACATATTAATCTATCAGAGTAGAAAATCTAGAAATAAACCCAAATACATACAGGAATAAAATAAATTTTTGCTCACATAGCCATACAAAAGGAAATTTAAAGGGATGTTCTTCAGGCAGAAAGAAAAAAAAAAAAATCAAAACAATAGAAGTGTGTAGATTTGCCTAGTGAGGAGTCAGACCTCTCTCAAGCTTGTCTCTACAAAGCATCGCAGAAATTACCTGCAGGTTACTGAATGCGCTCACTCATGCCTACACATTTAAATATACTAGTCTTTGGGTCTGAATGTCATTTTACATTCCCGATCTGCCAAATTAATACCTGAGATTCAGAAAAGTTCAGGAGTTATTCTTCCATTAAATATTCTTTTCTTGAGAAGAAATAGAGTGTGTGTGTGCTCAGCCACCTCCGATTCTTTGCTACCCCCAGGACTGTAGCCACCAGGTCCCTCTGACCATGGAATTGTCCAGGCAAGAATACTGGAAAGTGAATCAAAGTGAAGTCGCTCAGTTGTGCCCGACTCTTTGCGGCCCCATGTACTGTAGCTTACCAGGCTCCTCTGTCCATGGGATTTTCCAGGCAAGAATACTGGAGTGGTTGCCATTTCCTACTCCAGGGAATCTTCCCTACCCAGGGATCAAACCAACGTCTCTTATGTCTCCTGCATTGGCAGGTGGATTCTTTACCACTGTTCCACCTGGAAAGCCCTAGAGTATGTGCAATGTCTCCTAAATGTTGACTTTCCATTTTCTTGCATCTCCATTTTGTTCCTCATCTGTTATTTGTTCTTTACAGCACTGCCAGAGGAGCACTGCTAACATAAAAAAAATTCTGATTGTGTCTTTCTCCTACTCAAAAATATTTGATGCCAATTAAATGCCTGAATGTTTCTAAAATAAAGTATGAACTTCTTGGGACACCAAATGCTTTCAAGGTCTTCTTGGACTCACCTCCAAACTACTTTCTCTCCTCAGTTCTACCCGGTATATGTGTTTGCACCCTATACTTGCAGCCACTGCAGCCCATATCATTCACAAGCACATATCTCTCTTGGTGCTTTGTTCACCCAGAACCTTCAGCCTCATCTAATCCAACTCTTCACATCACCCTCAATCTCTCCATTTCCTCATCCCCCTCAATCCCCAGTCTTCTCTGCACATTCAGATATTTCAAAGCTGTGTTTTCAATGAAACCGCATCTAAAATATTTTAAGAATGAATGACTCAATCCTGAGCTTCCATAGTTCATATTTATTTAATTATGGTTGATATTATTAGTTGTTTTTATGTCTGTCACTAGTCTGTAACTTTCATAGAAATCAGGGCCGCATCTTACTAATTTGTTTCATCCTGGTAGCTTTGAATACACTGCAAATGACACGGTAATAAATATTGACACACAAAAATAAATGGTTTTTGCACAGCATGATATAAAGTAGAGCCTGACACATGGTCAGTGTTTAATAAATGTGAACTCTTTCTAGGAGGAATAACAGATGCTCAAAAAAACATTTTGTGAAAAGTGGCAAAAGCTCATTGTGCTGATTTACTATTAGCCAGCTAATTTCTTTTAAAATTGATACTGCTTACGAATTATTATAAAGAATTTCAATTTCCTCTATTGGTGACAGCAAAAGTTTAGGTTCTCAAACCACAGAAAAGGCCTTAAGATATTTTTCAAGACCTACGTTCATGTATCACTGGTCTCCATACAGATAGAATTAAATATTGAAATCTTTTTATATCCATTTAATCCCTGAAACTTAGTACAACTCTTAATACCAAGTAAACACTAAAAAATGTTAGTGGAAGGAATAAACAAATACATGAATTAGGATGAATTGTTTACGCAACAGAATCTCCAAACTGTGAGCACATCATATATAAGGAACATGTTTTGTTCATTTTTTTGTCTCCAGCACCTAGCCCAGTATCTGACACAAAATGAATGTTTACTAAACAGCTATTTATTAAATTATAGATAAGCGATAAATACAGTTTACTTTAAAAATGCAAAGAAGGAAAAAGAAAACACATTTGTTGTATCATGTAAACTTGTACCAAAGATTTGTGAATAGATTTATTAATGGGGTGGAATTTCTACCTGGAAGATAGAGAAGTAAACGTGGAGACTGAGAAGTCAGGTCACCTTAGTCCTCTCAAGTGGTTAAAGCTAACTAGTCCCTTTGAATGAGAATCTAGCCTATCTGAGGGCCTCTAGCTTCTACACAGCATCAGCCTCAGAACAACACAGTCAGGGCAGAGTGCATACCTACTAGGGAAATTCTACTGTGGCAACAATGAGAAAATAAAGACCTTGGGTTAAGAGAAGAAAGTAGTAGGAGTGTCACTTGAAGCACAAACAGGGAGACTGAACGGACAATCTCTGTGTCACCACATCTGTGTCAAGAAAGGCACGCCAGTTTCCTTCAAGGTACATAAGTATGTTGCATCACTGTGGAAGGAATGGAAGAGCAGGACGGGGTTGGCTGGTGGAAGTCACATCTTGGGGAAGCTGGCCAGGTTGGCAATGCCACAAGCGTTGTTCTTATTCCGGGCCATGAGAATATAGCCTTTGTTTCCCCAGTTTTCTCCCCAGCTGTAGGACCAAGCAAGGAAAATACTTAGTACCCTTAGTTTATTCAATAAAACGTTTGCTGAGTATTGTGTTAGGTTTTGATGGTTTACCAAAATAAATAAATCAGTTTTTACCTTTAAAGACTTTAAAGTCAAGAAATGGAGAGAAGGCATAGTGTTACAAGAGAGGTTGCTTCTGCTCAAGGGGATCAAAAAAGGCTTAACAAAAGAGGGGGCACTTGAGCTGAGCCCAAAGGCTGATAGAATTTGGACCTGTGGAAATGGGAAGCCAGCGGGTGAGAGTGAAATGAGTAATAGAGGCAGGAAAGCATGGGATGTGTGTTAAGTTCATGTAGCTAACTGTCATACACCCAGAGCTATCACAGAATCGTGGATCAAGTATACTTCAATTAAAAAAAAAATCATATAGCTGAAAAACAGGGTGCCTGATAAGGTATAGTGGGAGATTAGGTTAAGGGGATCTTTCTGGCCAGGCGAAAGATTTTGACCCTCTGGCCCATGATAGTGGAGGAGACATTGAAGTTTTCTGATTAGGACAGTGAAGTCATTCAACTTGAGTTTAATGATAAATTATCTTGAAAACATGAGTCTAGAGCATAAGAAAGAGGCAAGAGAGGCTGAAGCTTGTGATCTTGGTTTGGGAGTGGAACCCATAGGAGAGGTGGCGACAGAGGATGAGATGGTTGGATGGCATCATCGACTCAATGGACATGAGTTTGTGCAACCTCTGGGAGATAGTGAAGGACAGGGAAGTCTGGTGTGCTGCAGTCCATGGGGTCACAAAGAGTCAGACAAATTGAGCACCTGAACAACAATCATAGGAGAGATGAATGAAGCCATAAGAATAGATGAGACTGCTAAGGAGACAAGTGAAAAGGTTGGAAGATTAGACACAGATAAAAACAGAGACAGACAGAAAGACAGGGGAATGGGGAGAGATTGGTCTATATAGCTTCCTAAATTATTTTCATAAGTTTACTGTCCGTTTTTCCCAAGCCGAAAATTTACCAGTTACCTGGTACATTTACTTAAGCAATTTACCCTACCCCTGTTCCCTTATCCAGCGGTTCCCACTGACCCTGATCCTGCCTGCGCATGTCCTTTATTCTTCCCAGCTCTCTTGGATGCAGAACTTATCACTTGATCGAAAAGAAAGGACAGGGTAAGTGCCTGGGCTGAGAAAGGAGAAAGGAAGAACACAAGACAGAAGCTGTGGGAGAAGGAATACCCTCTTAGGAAGGTGCACAGGCTCACCCTTAGTTCGGACTGTGATTTAAAAAGTTACTCCCAGCCTCACATTGCATCCTGCCAGCCCTCCAGGCAGCATGCCAAACTTGGTTACACTGCTACATTGCCCTGTGAACTCCCCAGATTCTAGGGGGCCTGCTCCTTTGGAGGGCATCAAGGACAGAAAGTTTAACCAGTGCTGCTGCCAGGCTGGTGTTGATGAATGAGGAAAGGAAAATAATAATTCCTATAAATCTGCACTCTATCCATAAAGTCATAGGAGCTAAAGAGAAACAGAGAGCCAAGGGGCCCTGTAGTTTTTATTTGTTCCCAATAATAGAGAAGGAAATACTAATTTTGTTTTTGGTGTTCATATCTACTTTCTGAAATGCATTTATCTTCACAGACTTCAAAATTTCTGGCCAATTCTGATATATGTCTATCCTAAGAGCAAAAAGCTACACAAGGGGATATTAAACTTTTACATTGTTTATATAGTTCCCTAATGCTTACCATCAGACTAATGATGGAAACCCCCCTAAAAAACCAATCACATTAGAGAAAAAAGAAAAAATACATAAAATTACAAAGCTCCTGCTGGCTCCTGGTGCTCCTTTATGTTCTCACATTAGCTAGGTCTGTCTTTTTTAGGGGCTATGAGATCACTGAAGACAGACACCTGCTCACATGTTTGTGTACGTGACTAAGCACCTTGAACACGGGTCAGCTGTCCAACACATACCTTTAGTGCTCTTGTCTGGCCATTATGTTAGAATGGATAGCCTCAGATTGGGAAGGTAGAATTGAAACGTGTGAGAAAATTTTCTTTTGAGAGAAAAAAAGGAATACTGGGAAGCTGAAGTTGAGTGTTAAGAGAGTGAGGGGGTGACAAATACGGGGTTCCCATAATTACCTGTTTTTAATTATCCAGTGCTTATTCCCCTTCTGGATCCCATATCCCACTGCCAAAACCGCGTGGTTCAGATTGTCACTATTGCAGTTTTCATCATAATACACACCTAGGAAACAAATTATCAAGGTGAAGCTTTCTGCAATCCAAGGGTTGCCCTGTGGGGTCTCCCACTCTAGGAGATCCTCTGTAGAATCCTGTCCCAGTCTTGTAAGAGGACTTGTAAGAGGACTTACAAAAGAGATGGTCTGTGCTGTGGCAGCTGTTTCTCTCTGGTGGACTCAGTCTGATTATGGAAACAAGTACTGAAAATGCCTGGTACCCTTGGGGAAGCTGCCCAGTCTACATCATGAGAGAAGGTTGATTGTGCACCTTACCTTTTCTGTAAAACTGGAAGGAGGTCAGGCTTGCATCAATGGCCACAGAGATGGGTCCCACTCGGGCTACAGCCCTCTTCAGGGCTTTTTCATTTCCTTCAGGGATCTCTCTGTACCCTCTGCACTTAGCTGCCTTGCCTGTTGGATTGTACATACAATTTTCATCCTGGAGAAACAAGGTTAAAATAAGACTAGGACTAAACAAAGGCAATTAACTGGTGAGAAAGTCTGTCAAAGTTTTGGGTGACATCAGTGCCTGGAAGCAGACTTTAGTCTCCACAAAGGGTCTGTTCTCTCCTCACCATTTTAGAAACTGTAAGAAAAGAATATGGGGTGGGAGGTGGGAGGGAGGTTCAAGAGGGAGGGGACATACACACACCTGCGGCTGATTCATGCTGATACATGGCAGAAAACAACACAATATTGTAAAGCAATTATTCTCCAATTAAAATTAAATTAAAAATTCTAGAAAGAACATGAAAATTGTGTACCTTGTACCATGCACAAAAATCAGCTCCAGGTGGTTTTAAAACATAAATGTGAAAGAAAACACTATAAAACTTTAAAAAAGGAATATTTTTATTACCTCAGAGTAGATAAAGATTACTGAATTTAGATTTAAAAAAAAAACCCTACAAATCAACTCTGGCAATGTAGTATGTGTGATCATCAGTAGGCAAGGAGGCAGCAGCTCCTGTGTTGGGAGGAGGCCCAGCCCCAGCTAGACAGAAGACCTTGGCCCCATGCACCTGTATTAGGTCAGCGTTCTGGCTGACCCTGTGCTCTCATGAGAGAGAGAGAGGTAAAATCACATAACATGACACTAAAACAAATTAATAAAGAACTTAGCAATTTATCCTGTGAATTTCCAACATTATGTTTTTCAGGTCTACTTCACAATGATGTGTTTCACTGTCAAACTAGAATCATGGAATCTAACGGCAACCCATGTCAAAGTGGTGTATTCTTTTTGGCTGTTCATTTTCCTAGAGGTTACCCCTCAAAAACCCTAGCATTCCATCTACAAGAATACATTATCTAGGGCTTCCCTGGTGGTCCAGTGGTTAAGAATTCATCTGCCAATACAGGGGACATGGCTCGATCCCTGGTCTGGGAAGATCCCTTATGCCATGGAACAATTATGCCTGTGTGTCAAAACTACTGAAGCCTGCATGCCTAGAGACTGTGCTCTGCAACAAGAGAAGTCACTGGAATGAGAAGCCTGCACACTGCAACAAAGATCAGCTTCTGCTTGCCACAACTAGAGAAAGCCTCTGCATAACAACCAAGACCTGATGCAGTCAAAAATAAATAAATAAATACTTTAAAAAAATTATCTAAACACTAACAACAATGGTTGCATTTGACGTGATAGTCTAAGATTATAGTAATGTCCTGTATTAATAATTTCTCTAGACTCCTTTGCCATATAATCCAAACCCTTGGTGCCTCCTAGTACCAAAAATTGCATAGATATACAAGTACAATAAAATATCTAGGGGATGGATTTGGAAGGATACCATGTAATGATATTTTAAAGTAAAAATAACTCGAATTGTGGCTGGAATGAACTTAAATTACTGTATTATCTGCCTGCTGCATTATCAGATCTCTTCGTTTTTAAACTTTGTTTTTTCGTGACCTTCTTCCATTCATTTACATGTTCATATAAGAAGTTCTTTCAGTTTTGAACAATAAAACTAATGAGAACAGTTGTCCAAGATTCAGAACATTAAAAATGGAACACATGTCTTATGATGGCTAACTCTTCATTCTGATTGATTATAAAACCAAAATCATTGCATATTCCTCTAAAATGCTGAAGAGATCATTTGAGAGGGTAGGGGAACAAATATTGTAAGTCAATTGCTCCTTCTATTTCAAAACAGGGGTTCAAATGTTATATAATTTTTATTTTTATTCAGAGTTTCTGAGTTATTAAACTATCCCTCAACAGACTGGTTAATACAGTACTGAATAAATGATGTAAGCGGTCAATGGATAAGTGATCAACAACTAGTTCTAATAATATTTATTTTTTTCATACAGTTAGACAAACCTTTAAATTGGCTGCCTGGATAAAGCAACATGGAAAAAAAAGTTATAACCATGAATCTGTTTTTTTGTATATACTATTAGGATTTGTTTAATTTTTTTGATATCAAGTGACAAAAAAAGTTGTCAAAAAAATTTTACAATTTAAAAAAATATTTTGTCACATTTGGGTTATGTCACTAATTGCCTGATGTATTCAGAATTAAAAAGTTAATCTGTTAGGGCAGCTTTAGTATGCTGCAGCTTACACTAGCAGCCCTACGAAAACTGTACATAGATTAAAGAAAAATCTTTCCACATACAACCTCCAACTTTCCTGATTTGTATACCTGACAACTAAAAAAAAAAAAAAATAATGGAATAATAATGGCATGAAACTTCATGAGGATGTGCTGAAGTGACTTCACTATGTAGATTGTTGAGTATCCAGTGAAATGGATCTGTTCAGTCATTTACATTAATGAGCATATTATTGCATCAGATATCATTTCAGATGACTAAATATAAATAAATAAAACTCACTGTTTATTGGGTTTTTAAAGGCTCAAATTGCAAAGGAAAAAAATCATTTTTCTAAAATTAAGAACTTCTCTGGATTGAAAGACATCATAAACAGAAAGAAAAGAAAACACATAGAGTTGTTGTTTAGTCACAAAGTCATGTCTGACTCTTTTGCAATCCCATAAACTATAGTCTGCCAGGTTCCTCTGTCCATGGGATTTCCCAGGCAAGAATACTGAAGTGGGTTGCCATTTTCTTCTCTAGGGGATCTTCCTGACTCAGGGATTGAACCCACATCTCCAGCATTGGCAGGCAGCTTCTTTACCACTGGGCCACCAGGGAAGCCCAATACACATAGTATTAGTATCCAAATATCTTTTTACATTTTTTAAACATTAGTAAGAAAGAGAATAAAATCTAATTAAAAAATGGGCAAACAATATAGATGCTTCCATGGTAGCACAGTGGTAAAGAATCAGGAGACCCAAGAGACACGGGTTCAATCTCTGGGTTGGGAAGATCCCCTGGAGTAGGAAATGGCAACCTGCTCCAGTATTCTTGCCTATAAAATTCCACGGATAGAGGAGCCTGGTGAGCTACAGTCTACAGGATTGCTAAGAGTCACACATGACTGAGCACACACACAATCACACACAAAAGATATAAGCAGTCAATTTATGAAGAAATGCAGATGGCCAGATAAGCATACTGATGAAGTTGTGAATCAACAGGATTTCTTATACTATGCAGATGGGAATATAAATTTTCCAAATACTTTGGTAAGCAATTTGACATCATCTAGTATAGTTGAAGATGCACAGACCCTAAGACTCAGACAATTCTGTTCCTAGATATTATATTCTAGTAAAGAAATCCTTGAACGTGTGAATAGAAGACAAGACTGGGGATATTTGCAGCAGATAAACAGATCTGATGGGTAGATCTTGGCTCTGCTACATAACTAGAGGTGTGAATTTGAATATACCATTTTATCTCCTTAAGTGTCTATGTCCTTCTATGTTCTCACCTGTAAAGTGAGGATAAGGGTGCCTTACAGGGCTTTAATAAGGATTAAATGAGAACACGCACTAATTACACAGCTCAGCACACAGTAGCCATCATTTGTATTGCCCAGACTTGCAATCCCTACTTTAAAGGCTCCTGCTGCAAAGGCCCCCATATTACCTATCAACTCCATGTATATAAAAATGTCCTCAGATCTTCTTCCTTTTAGATAAGAAAGATCTTCCTATTACTAAAGGACCTTATGGGAGGAAGTGAGTTCATCTCTAAAATTGCAATAAATATGAAGCAACTTGCTTTTTTCTCTCATTTTCAACATGTTAACATGTTAACTTACCTAATTTGCTTAAACGTTCCCCAAATCTACATTGAGATCATACAAAATAAAGCCACATGATTCATGAAATTAGCATAGTGGGCTTAGAGATTTCTGATGGGAGTGGAAGAGTTGAATAGAGAGTTATAGAGACCTACTCAGAGATCTATGGGATAGCCTGTCCTCTGTTATTTCTCCAGGGCAGAGAGACAGTTAGGAGCCATGGTAACCTAAGCTCCCCAAATTTTCCCAGACTGGCCTTCCCTGGTGGTCCACTGGGTAAGAATCCACTTACCAATGCAGGAGACACATGTTCGATTCCTGATTTGGGAAGATCCCACATGCTGTGGGGCAACTAAAACCTGTGCTCCACAACTACTGAGCCCACATGTCTTAGAGCCTAAGTTTTGCAATGAGAAGCCAACAACTTGAGAGTAGGCCTCGCTCACCACAACTAGAGAAAGACTGTGACAAGCAACAAATTAATTAATTTTAAAACACACACACAAATTCTCCCAGACTATGGGAATCTTCTTGGCTTTTTTGTGGGAAATCATTCCATCAAGAAAGCTGGATAGGGTAACAGAAAACAAGATTTCTGGAACTGTTTCCAGAACAAAACGTCATGCCAGAGAAGGAGAAGCCATTACAGAACTCTATGACTGTGTGGGACAGTCTCACCTGTCCAACATACGGGTAGGCATCTTCAGAGTCAATGCCCCGGTTCTTCTGCACATACTGGAAGGCATTGGTCATATAGCCCCCTCCGCAGCCATCATTCTCAGACACACAATCCACCAGGTTCTGTGGACTCAGATTTAAGAGTTTGCCGGTTTTCTTCTTGAGTTGGCCCTCCAGGGCACCCACAGAGCTAAAAGCCCAACAGGAACCACACTGACCCTGAGAGGCATAGCAGAGAAGCCATCAATAATTGCTGTTCACACTTTTTGTTTCTCTCTTCTAGCTGCCCGATGAAATTTCATACATTCTATAAATTCCAGCACACATCCCCTTTGCTATGAAGTATTCCTATTTCCCTTCACTTAATCTTTGTTGCAGTGATCTATTGCCATTGTTGCTATTAATAACCGTTGTTACTACTGTTACCATCAGTTGCAGTAAAGCAGAGTACAGCACGCCAATGAATCAATGAATCCATCATGAACCGAAAAACAGTAAGGTGAAAATGCAATACCCCTAACCTACTGAACGTCACAACTTAGCCCAGCCTGACTCAGAACACTTACATGAGCCTACAGTCAGGCAAAAGAATCTCACACAAAGCCTATTAGTGTTGAATATCTCCTGTAATTTACTGAATTATAATCATATTGAATATCTTATGCAATTTATTGTATTATAATTGTACTGAAAGTGAAAAACAGAATGTCTGTAGTTGTGTTTACCCTCAGGACCATGTGCCTGGCTGGGAGCCATGGCCTGCTACCACAACCTAACATCAAGAGAAGGTATACTACATATTGCTCACCTGGGAAAAGATCAAAATTTAAAATTTGAAGTACAGTTTCTAAGGAATGCTTATCACTTTTATACCATTATGAAGTCAAAAATATCATAAGGTGAACCATTAAAAAGTCAGAGAACTACTCTAGGACAGGAAAAGTTTTCCATGTTCTTTAATACTTTTACAAATGAAGAAATACTGCAGATAAAAGAAATACTCTTTAAAGGTAGTTCTTGGGTGCATAGGGAATAGAAATGTGGAAGACTTATAAAAATATAACTATTGTGTTAGAAACAATGATACTAATTGTGTATATCTGCACAAGATATTTACTGTAAAAACAATGTAGACAAATAATTAAGGATTTATTATCTTGCTAAAAAACAAGTCAGGGACCATCTGTACTGGCTTTGTAACACACTAGATCACTGACCTTGGGTAAATTACTAAACCTCTCTGTACCACACTGCTTTTATGTGTAAATTGTGAATAATAATAATAAAATGGGATTATGAGAATTTAAAAAGTTAATTCATATAAAGGATGAATTATTATGTGCAATAATAATAATCTCCCAAAAGTGCTAACCATTATTATTGATGTGTGTTCAGCTAGAACACACATTTTTTTCTTTCCTGCTAGTTCTATTTTTTAAGACTGGGGCTTTCTTGAGAACACAAGTTATGTCTTAGTCCTCTCTACTGTCTAGCACTATACCTGGTAGGTTCTGCAAAAACTGTGGTTGTTGAGTGAATGTTAGATCAAGAGTTCATCTGGCAGATAACAATCAGCATTGTTAAGGTTGTGGGAAAACTTACATTCTCAGGCTGGTAAGAATGTAAGATTGTAAAAACTTTTGTGGAAAGGATTCTGTGACCTACGGATTCCAATTTTAAGATTTATTTTGCATAAATATTTGTATATATGCACACAGATGCTTACAGCAATACTATTTGTAGAAAAGAAAAAAGAAAAAAACAACCTAAATTCACAAAAACAGATGATGATTTAAACAACAGAATAGGCTATATTCTCTTGGCAGTGGGACGTGTAACTTAATTCTTTCCCCTCTCTTTCTGGTGCCCTCATACCTTAGAAACAAACAAGCAGAAAAAGGGAGAGATCATGCTAGTTTACATACCCACACCCAACAGAAAGGAGGATACCTGATTTTTGACAGGAGTAACGTATCCCTTCTTCCGATAATCAATAGAGTCTGGGGCTCTGCCTTCCCAGTCTGGGGTATAGAGGGTGTCATTACTGCGGGAACGAGAAGCGGGTACTTTGAGTCCAGTCATCTTCTGAACCACTTCTTCACTGGTCTGGGACAAAGAAAGAAGCCAGGCATAAGCAGGGAACCAAGACAAAACAGGCAGATAAACCAGAAACTGAGGTTCAACTCACCATGTCCCCCAAGTGATTCATGGCCAGTTCATATGTATGGACACCAAGCGAGGCCTCAAGATTATGGATGGAAATATGCTTCAGGTTTTTTTCCCAAATTAAACGCCGAGAGATTTCATCCACCTAAACAGAGCATAACTAGTATTGGCATGGACTGTGTCCTGTGTAAAAAGTTACATAGTACTGTGGAGGTTTTCAGAAGAGATTAAGTTTATAATCATAGAGGATTTACCATCGAGTTGGGGAACTGACCATGGGATTGTTAAGAGCATGCAAAAATCAATATATAAACAACTGCAAATAATAAAACTCAAATCTCTTAGAGGAAAATTGCTTATGGATTAATAGCATTATTTGAGAAGGCTTCCCAAAAGAGACCTATAAGACAGTTATAAAGAAAAGAAAGATAGGACTTGATTGAGGATGACTTGAGGAGTAGGAATAGAGAGTATATGTTAACAGGGAACAGGGACAGGTTGGCTTGGTTGTATTATAATACTGAAATTGAAGAAGGGAGTTTGGAAGCTAGGAGTGGACATCTCGGGTTCCAGCCTTCCCACATTTCTCCTCCAGGTTCCCAGGCACCTTGCTGTTATACTGCTTTCTGTAGTTCTTCTTCCATAGCTCCCACTGGGTGTCCAGTATCTCCTCGGGGTATAGAGCAAAGCTCACCACAGGCAGCAGTAGAAGAACCGTGAGCCCCCACATCCTGGAGAATAGGATAATTAGGGGCATGCATGGTAGTTCCAGTCATGTCCAACTCTTGCTGACCCTATGGACTAGAGCCCACCAGACTCTGTTCATGGATTCTCTAGGCAAGAACACTGGAGTGGGTTGCCATTTCCTCCTCCAGGGGACCTTCCTAACTCAGGGATGGGACCCAAGTCTCTTATACCTCTTGCATTGGCAATTAGGTTCTTTACCACTAACACCACCTGGGAAGCCATAATTGGGGGAGACTCTTCTGGTTGTCCAGAGGTTCCTAACATGACTTGGGATGAGGAAACAGCTGGAACCATATGCTCAGACAGGTGGTTCTTAATCTTTGGGAATCACAGACTCACATGACAAGCTAAAAAATTGCAACCCACTATTAATTCCTCTTGCCAGAAAAATGAATACACATACAATAATCCTGGGGAGTTCCTGAACCCAAAGTTAGGAGCCCCTTCCTCTGGACCATGAGGCAGAGGAAAACTAGGCTTTATGAGGAAGGCAGACAAAGATTGAGAGTGATTTCCATATGATAAAACAATGATAGGTGGGGGAGGGGGTCTGGGTTTGGTTGTGATGCTGATACATCTGGTCCCAAGTATTCTGGGAGATTACACACACACACACCTTGAACAGATAACCAGAAATGGGGAAGAAAATGGACAATCAGGATGCGAGCAACACCTGTCTGCTCCAGTGTCTCCAGCAGACTCGGAGGAGATGGACAGGTGTAGGGTAAGATGAATGGGATTGGAGAATACACAAAGGAGAGCTAAGTCTTTGCTTCCTGATCATTTCTTCAAGGTATTCTTCTGTTCCTTGCCTAAATTTTGATTCTGCTCCTAATCTTGCCAGCAGGGGACAAGGGAAAAGTTGACAGCATTGCCTATTCTCTATGAGATATCCCCTCAGCGTTCTTATGCACTTCCTCCTTTCTCTTCATGCTCCTTCCTTAGGCAGGAAACTAATTTCAACCAGCTGCTGTGGGAGAAAAGCTTTTTTTTTTTTTTCCCTCACCAAAAAACCCACATAACCTCTGGGACTGCCTCACAGGACAAAAAAGCCTCAGAAACAAGTTTGTTAGAAGAAGACAGAAAAGCAATGTTGTTTGATTATTAGTTGTGCAGCTTTTCCTAAGTTTACTCTAGCTACGTTCACTTCTTGTAGTGTCTTGCTAATCACGTCCTCCATTTTAAGAGCAAGTTTAGTCTGCGGCAAGTCATACAGCTTGCATGATTTTTAAACTTGTCTATTTTTTGTATAATCTTTGCACATTGGCAAAATGTCCAGCAGGACATTTAATATGTGGAGTGTCCAGGGCTTTTGAGATTCTCAAGAGTAGGAAGACCTTACTGAGCTACCACCCTTCTGCACTCCTCCTCCCTGCTAGTAACTTAACCCTTTTAGTACCTTTGCCTCCCCACCAACCAAAAAAAAAAAAAAACCAAACAAACCCTGAGGCCACACTTTGAGGGATGGGTAAAGAAGGCCTTATATTCTTTGTTTTCACTAACAACCACGTATACATACATATAAACTTTAAAAGGAGTCCTAAAGGTTTCCAGGCAGATTTTACTCAGCCAGGAAATGGCCAAAGGAGGGCATCACTGTTTTCATCCAGACAGCCTATAAAGTTCATTTTGATCTACAAGTCACGATGTTCCTAATATTCCTAAAAATGGAGAACTGACAGGAATGAGAGGTTAAAAGATCCAGGAAGCTGAAAATGTTACCTGTTGATGGGGATCTGTTCTCGGGGCTCGTCTCAGCAGAGAAGTGTGGATAATGTGGCCGGATGACTAGGGGTGCTGGATTTATTCCACCAGGATTGCGGAAGTCAGCTCTGGCTGCTGGCTGGAAAATTTGGATGGGGAGGGCACTGGAGACAGAAATGCTGAGAGAGGGGGGTTAGGGAGGAGGGAAGTAGGCAGCAGATTTGCCTCCTTTCTCTGTGCGCATGTGGAGCATGTGTGGCAGGGCGGAGAGTTAGGTATTTAGTTTCACATGGCTGCCTGCCTTTGAGACAGACAAAAAAGACCTCAATACATTATTACCCAAGTTGGGGCTTACCTTCTCTTTGGTGGATGGACAAGCATATATTATTTGTTACACTAGGGGATTATCTCTTTTCTGGCCCCTTTCCTGTTATTATTCATTTCTCCAACTTTGAAACCTGTTTTAAAATTTGTGTCTGACCCTCACATCACAGATGAGGAAATGAAGACAAAAAGCTAGAAAAAAGTATCAGGGAAGTCACAGGCTCCAAAATCATTTGTATTTTATAGACCTGTTGCCTGGAAGTTGTCTTTGCTTTCAGGCAGGGTAATAGCTTTTCCAGACTAACATGATTTTGCTGGGGAAGGATATGCCCAGAAAGTCCGTATGAAACCAGTTCCTAAAGTAACCAGAAACAGTACTCCTGGTTATGACAGCGCTTGAATCAATGCCATAAGCACTGACAAATTCACTTGTGACTTCTTCACTGCCAAAGCCTGATGAACATTATCTGTCTCAATTATTAAAATCCCCAATCTAGGGCCAGTCATATGAGCTTCTCCAAATGCTTCCCTCAATATCCAGGCATGTGACAGATCATGAGAATCTAGTTCAGTCCCTAAACCACATCCCCAAACATTTTCTTCCATAAACAGATGTGTGTGTGTGTGGGGGGGGGGGAGAGGAAAAGAGGGTCCTTGGAACAAAAATAATAATACATGGGATCCAGCTTCAGTTTCTAGCTGGGTTACATACATAGACCCTCAAGAAAACAGGTTTATGCTTATGGGTTTACTTTCTTAATGAAACACATTATCCTAGAGGGAAATGACGTCTAGACCTAAATAGTTTAAATTTCCCTATCCCTGATTCCTTTAGATCCAGAAGTGCCCTATTGCTCTCAAGTCCCAATTTATCCCCCTTTCCCAAGGACTTGGGCAATCCCCTATCCCCGATCCCATGGTCAGACATCCCTTATGATTTTACTCCAAGTGAGTCAGGATCAGGAGGACAACTAAGAAATGCTGACTGATCAGAGCCCTATGATTTCTGACTCCTGACATTATAGACACACTGTGCTTCATGTTTGTGTCTTTGAAGCACAAGTTATGGATTCAACTGGTTGTGGGTGTTTGTTGTTTTTGAGCTGGGATGAAATAATAAGGCCGCAATTAAGATCACACAACACAAGGAAGTTTACAAAAGGAAAAAATATTTTGTTTTAAAATCTTTGCTACATGTCATTATTTTTGCCACTGTAAGGCTCAGCACAGATGCCAGCAGTACAGAAATGGCCAACAAGAAAAAAAAAATCAAAAATAAAACCCTGAAGGAAAAGCAGAAACAAAACCCCCCAGAGCATCTTCTCCACCCCTCCCCTTCTCCCAAAGCCCAATAATAACTGTACAATATTATAGTCCTGATCACATTTAAAAACAGTTGATTATTAAAAAAAACAAGGATTTCATTGGAAACTCAACTTTTTGGTTTCTTAAAGTGTGCTATAAATATATATATGTATATTGCATGTGTGCACATAGAATAAAAAAATAAACTGTCTCCTTTTCCACTTCACTACCTGGCACCAGACCGGAGACAAAAGGGAGGGAAATCTCACGACATCCTCTCAGCCCGTGCCAAGGCCACCCAAGCGCCTCAGTCCCCTGTGGCTGCAGTTAGCATGTCTTCTCCTTGTCAATTCAGTCCTGCACTTAGATACTGGCCTGAGCCAAACAAGAGAACAACAGCAAAAAAGGCTGATACACATGACGGTTACCTGAGGAAGGTAAAGAGTGAGAGTACTAACCTGTATCTGCATTTATATGGCTATAGTTAATTATTAAGTGACCCTGTCGGGATGGGAGTCCAGGTCCCATCTATCACATGAATTTATTACACTTGTACTATAAAGCAAAATTCAGTCTCAAGATTGGAGAGGGAGAAAAGAGGAAAGAACTATAGGTCCAGAAGAGACCTAAATTTTAGTTCTTGCAGACTGGATACTTTTGAGTATGGGATGAAAGAGGTTACTTTGCAAGAAAGGCTTGATATTTGGTTTAAATTCCAGCAGTGAGGATTTTCACTGGGACTGCTAATCCAAGAAGTTGAGTTTCCATGCAGACATAACCTCTAGAGAACACACATCATATGTGATTCTGACAGAAAAATGCAGCATCATCCTTATGGACAAGTAGGGGGTTCTGAACATGTTTACCTTGCCAGCCTACTTCTGTAATGCAGATGTTCCATCCAAGGTGAGAGCACCAAAAGCAGGAATGACCCAGCTTTATCACTATATACGTTCAATGAGAGACCAACCATATCAATAGAAGACTTCATATACTTGCTTACAGTTGCATAGTGGCTGGGCACAGATATAATAAGCGCAGCAAAGACATTTACTTAAATACTCTTTGGCTGCAATACTAAGTGGAAACTAATTGGAACATTCAACTCTTTAGGACTCTTTGAAAAACACAGAGAAAGACAAAGATAAAATCTGGGACAAATTTTGCATAACTCCCTAATAGGGAGAAAGAAACAAACACAGAAACAAATGTGCACACTCACACACACACACACGTGCACATGCATGTGCACGCACACACATTCTCTTTCTCATTTCCTTACTCATATTTCATTCCAGAGGAACTGCTCACAGGCAGCAGAAAGCGCCCATACTCACTTCTGAAAACCCCATGTACACCTGCCATGTTTCATGGTCGTCAAACATTGAGGACATTTCTCCTCTCTCACCTTACTCAGAATTTCTTTCCAAAAATAAGCCATAGTATCCAAAGGAGATAGTGAGTGTTTTCTAACCTGCCCCTTGACCCAGCACAAATCATTTCTGCATAAATTTCTGGTCAGGAGACATAAGGAAAGACATTCTTAACCTAACCCAGCCTCAATTTTTCAAAGGGTCCCAAAAGCGTTGAGGAGTCACTCCATTTCTTCTATAAATGTTATCTCAGAGATGCAGGAAGACAAGGGAAAGGTCAGAAGGGAAAGGGGTTATACATCAGGGGTGAGGGAAGGGAAGGGAGAGGAACTTTTATTCTGTTTACAGAAAGATTTGCTTTTTTAAAAACAAATGGTGATTTTTTTTTTTCTCCCCCACCCTTTATCCTCACCCCAATAGTTCTATTCTGAAAAGGAGGGAAACATAGTTAGGTCAGGAAATTCTTCATTGTTGTAACTGTTGCTCTGATCTCCCAGCATGGACAGCATCTCCTAATAAGAGAAAAAGAATAAGCTTGGGTCACACACCTTGATCCTTCCCATGTATTGAGCTCCTTCCCAACATCCCCCTGAACTATCATCTCTGGCCCCAGAGTTTTTGCTGTGCTGAGTTCTCTTAGCCTTCTTTACTCCCAGCAACTCTAACTTCTTTAGATGACAATATATTTTCCTACTTCTTTCTCTGCCTTCCCCATACAGTTCCACATTCTCCCTCTTTTCTAGTCCTCAATATTCTCAATGGGAGAAAAATCTCCTTGTCATATTTCATAAAATCCCCTCTGGACATTTATGGAGTATCTCTTATCCTATTTGTTTTCCATCGAAACCTTGTTTTGCCTTCTTCCAATCTGTGTTTTAAACTAAGCTCCTCCTTTATCCCGCCTGAGATTACTAACTACTGCAGTCCCCTCAGGATTTATGTAAATAGACCCTTAGAGCTGTATTCAGTATTTTATAACTAAACTACTATCATCAAATGGGCACATGGTTCTCCATGAATGGACCAAAATTACTTTCTTTCATGTCTTCGCACGGTGCTTCACATCACTAATGACGGTCTAGTGCAGCACACTAAGTTCACAATCTTTTCAATTAATGACATCTATTTTCACGTGTCCGACTCTTCTCTTCTCCCACTTACTAACCTCAATCCATGCATGCTTTCTTCTCTGTCTCTCCCCCCTGACTCTTTCTCTCCCAGTTTCTGATTTTCTGAAGTCTTTAGACCCTCTCACCTGGAAGACCTCGGGCTGGCCAGGTTGCTGTGCTGATGGTTGTTGAACATGTTGCTCATTAGAACTTGAACGATGATGCGACTGCTGGCCCTGCCACTGTGGCCAGACACCCACACCCTCTGCTGTCCGTGTCTGGAATTGCCCTGCAGTTTGTCCAGTCTCAGGAGCTAGAAATATAGCAAGGAAATAGAAAAATTTCAATCTGCTAACTCTACTAGAGAGGAGAAACTAGCACATAACCACATGCAAGACATTAATTTTACTGAGATACCTTCTGTCCTTTCTATTTCAAACCCTAGTCCAAAATTTATTTTTCTTCTCTAGGTAGAGTCCTTTCTAAAGAATCCTTTGCTCATTCATAGTAAGTGTGCATATTATTAAATTTATAATACTTTACATGCTTTTTGTTACACATGCTAATAAAGTCCTTTTCATGCGGGTAGGTTTTCAATTCCAAAAGGACTGTCACCATGCATTTCCCTGTAATTCGGTCAGTACAGCCAGGACAAAAGCAAACTATTTTAACCACTAAATCCTGTCTCCTTTGTGTTGTGATTTTCCTGTGACCCTGACTCTGGTGTGAACTCACCAAAGTTGGATCCACGATTGGTGAGACTAGGATAGGCAGCTGCACCAGGTGATGCAGTGGAAGCACCAGGAAGGGACATGGGGCTGAAAGAAGATGGAGTCTGAAAGCTGCCTACACCAAATTGGGAAGAACGAGTCTTAGCTGTAGCCTGGGTAGCCACTTGCTAAAAGAAAGGGGTAGAGAGCAAACAGAACATTAACATTATTGCACAGACCATTGCTATGAGAGTTAACCCTCTGTCAATCATTGGATTCTTTGGAGCCAACCTCATTACTTATTTCCCATTGCACATTTCCAATTAACTCCCAGTTTCCTTTGACACTATTTTTAGGCACTTGTGATAAAGTTAAAAAGCAAAGAACTATGCGATTAGTAAAAGTATACACTTTCAGAGTTGAGAAGTAAATGAAAATGGCATGAATGAAAGCACTTTATAAACTGTAAAACTATACAAAAACTAGAGGCATTAATAATAGCATAGCACTTACATAAAGAGAAAAACACACTTTGCATAATTTTATTATTCAATCTGTACCACATTTGTTTGTTTCTAATGATATCTTTTTTTTTTTTGGTAACTAAACATTTTCCTTACTATAATAGTAATGCATATGCACCATGGGATATCTTCAAAATGAAGGAAAATAAAAAGGAAATAATCATCCATAATCCTACCACCAAAGACACATGGTTAACATTTTTGGATAATTTCTTCCAGTTTTCATTTTCCTATGTATTTTTTTACACAATAAGGTTATACCACATATAATAATTCTAGAGTTTATTTCTGATTTTGGCTTTATTTAAAATATTACTTATGCAAATATGAGTACATAGCAACATATAAAAGGATATTAGCTTTAGCCTTAATATATATATACATATATATATATTATATGAGGATTTTTCAACACAATTCCTGCTCCCAATAAGATAAAAATTGGAAGACAGAGGATGGCAGGGCAGTCAAGAGAAGACGTTTAAGATAGACAATAATAATTTTACATATGGAAAAAGTCTAACCAACCAACCAAACAACAAATACAAGGGACAGACAGATGAGAAGGTTTACCTGGGCAGAGAAGCCTGGGCGGGTGCTAGGGGTCCAAGCTGGGGCTGCTCCCTGGGTAGGATTGGAGTGGCGGGAAATCTGGGCCAACATCTGCCCTGCGGAAGTTGATGGCTGGACAATGGTTACAGGAGGGGCCAGACCACTATTTCTAGGAGTGAACAAATAGTGAGGTAAGGATGAAAAAGGTGCATTTATCACAGAATCTAGGAATCACAGGACAATCTAGTGCTATCTCTAGATTCCCTCAACTCCCTGGGGGTTAAGGAAAACCTGATAACAGAATCTGGAAAAGACAAAAAAGACTGACAGTCACACACTGATCAGGACACACAGAGATGGGACCTAGAACATGGCAGCAGGA